CATTCTTTTAGAACATAGTAGTATCACAAGGATTTCATGCCATCTTAAAAGTTTATCTTTGCTAGCCTGTTTGCTTACACCAATCAAAACCTTAGTAGATGTTTTTGGGTGTATATTTGGATGTCCTCATGAACTCCATTGGCTTGTGTGTAGTACGGTGAAGAATGGAGGGTCGTTATCTCGTATTGGGCAACGAAGGTGGCAACCCTATCATTGGTAAATACCATTCTTTGATCTGCTGTAATTATTTGCGAAATCCCATACTTGTGGATGATATTCTCCTTAATAAACCGTATCACTTCCTAGTAAGTCATGTTGACCAGAGGTAAGACCTTTATCCATTTCGTGAAGTAATCGGTGGCCGTTAACATGAATGATGTCTTTTGGAGGACGATGGATGCATTTTGCCTATGATATACATTGCCTATCCTCTAAACGGCCAAGGCTTCACCACTGCATGCAACCCCTTTATAGGGACTCAAATCAGAGGCTCGTACTTCTGGCAGACTTCACACCCTTGGTGTATTTGATATAATCTTTTTTCATAGACGGCAAGAAGTACACATACTTAAAAAATTGTCCATTCTATGACAATGCTCAAGTCATGAGTGTCACATATCCCTTCGTGGACCTCTCCCATGGCTTTTATGGCTTCTTGGGTCCCTAAACATTTGAGCAACCCCTTGTCTGTGGCCTTTCTGTATAGGTCCCTATTCAGGAGCATATACTTCAAAGCCTGCTTCCAAAGCCTTTCGGGAGCATCGCTAGATGGCCACTCTAGAAAGCTTATATCTTTGCGCCCAAATCCTTTTGTTCTGTCGGGTATAATTAAATTATTTTCGGTCCTAGGCCACAACGAGTCCTTGGCCTATATCCAGAGGCCTTTTGAGCCACAACTTGTTTGCCTCAACATTTTCCTCATAAGGAATGAAGTTAATACCCGCTTTTTCAAAGTCCTTAAACAATTGTACTACCTCTTACTTCAAGATCCTCAATATTTTATCTTTGCATTGAAATTCCCCAATAACCTATTTTAATACAAATTGTGAGTTCCCTTCTACTTGGATTGCCCTACACTTCTCCTATTTAAGAACTTCAGACCGATGATCAGAGCCTCATATTCAGTCTAATTGTTGGTAACTTTTGCGGGCAACTATCTGCCAAATATTCATTTTTCACCCTAAGGACACTCAACAACTCCAATTCCTCCCTCATCAGCCATGCTCGACCCATCAAATTTTACGATTCATGGTTGCTGGTACACAATCAATACCGAAGCTCCTAGGCTATCTTCCAACGAAAGGATCGGGTGATCCGCTAAAATTTTTCTACAACTTTTCCTTTCACAACCTTAATGGATTCATATCATAGATTAAAAGCAGCCAAATATCAAATGATTTGATCAAGTCCTAACAATGCTCCACAAAGCCTATTTGTCATTAATTCTTAAACTTTGGACGATTTTAACGATAGAGCCTTTAGATGATTATAAGCTCGAACGATCGAATTGACAAAATTTTAAAGTAGATCTACTGGAATCCCAAAATAATGCTAAAAGAACTCGAATTTAACAAGAGGCACTAGTAAACTAGCTGAAAATTTAAATAATGCTAAAATAACTTGAAATTAACAAGAGACACTAGTAAACTAGCCGAAAATTTAAATTAAATGGATAAAGTAGTACAATTAAAAGATAAATCACAAACATAAGTGTAGTGTATTGTGAAAAGATAAGTGTTTCTTTGGGTTTGGTTTTGAAAAATTTAGTTCAAGTTTAATAATATTTGATAAAATATTTTATGAAAGAAAAAAACTATTTTTTCTCAAAAAATGCAAAGTAAAAAATTATAAGATTTGAGAAACTTTTGATAAAGAAATACACCCAAGTAATCCAACAATGATCAATATAATATATATATATATATGTGATACCCGAGTTTCTCACTACTCATTGGCCAATATATATTTCATATTTTAGGTGCTGGTAAATTACTTATATGTTAATTTGTGGTAGTTTAAATATACTTCATGAGTTGTATACATTAGTTTACTTGAGTATTAATTATTTGATTATATGTTATGTTTATATTATTTATGTGTTAATTTATAAGTTGAGTATAATTCATGCTTTGAGTGCATTTTATATTATTTATATGTCACTGGTGATATTAAGTTATTTTACTATTGAATGTTAAATTATTTATAATTTGGTATATATCTTACCTGTTTATTAATAAAAAAATATTATCATAATTTATTTGAGATTCTAGTAGGATACAAATAAGTTGGGTAAATTATTTGGATATTAGTAGTGTAAGTTAAATATAAATCACTTGAAAATTAATTTTAGGAATTAAATAAAAAGTAAAATATATAGAATAATTAAATAAATAAATAAGTAAAATAATAATAATAATCATAAAATATAATAATAATAATAATAATAATAATAATAATAAAAAATAAATAAATAAATAAAAGGAAGTAAGGCGGTGGGGCTGGGTAATAATCCCCACCCCCACCAGCTCAACCAAATCCATTTCATTTCAATTGCAGAAGAAAGTGCAAGAAAGGCAACGCGAAGAAGAAAGAAAAAAAAAAAAAAAAAAAAAAATTACGTCGAATTCGTTAAAAGCCTAGTTCAGGTATTTTTCTGTGTTCACGAATTATTGCTATTTTTACTTAAGTATAGAAAGTTTTGAGTAGAAATAATTATTTAGTAAATTGGGATAATATTTGTAATTAATTGTTCTTAGATACGATACTGGAATTGTGAAAAGGGCTTTAAGAATTGGGGTTATTGACGTTTTTGGTGAATTTCAGGTAAGTAGAAATTCATTTGCAACTACAATGCATAAATATACTATTTTGTGAGTTATTTATGTTTGATTGATAATATGTGAATATCATAAAATTGTAATATGTAATTAATATTATGTGATTATGTGGTTTGAGTCTGCGAGCTCCGTATATAAATTAGTTTCAGCCTGTGAGTTCTGTATGTGATATGGTTGAGCCTGTGAACCCTATATTTGATATTGAAGGAGTCTGTGAGCTCCAAAAATTAATGTGGTTTGAACCAGTGAATTCAATAATATCTGTATATTGTGAAATATGTTGCATTGCATTTTCATTAAGCATGCATATCATGCATTGAAATGAAATAAAATGGTTTTACTATGTTAGACCGCTGATTATACGCCGAGGGCGGGAGAGGTGACCTGGGAAGAAGCGACCTAGGGAAACCTGGTGTAGGCTACCTGGTGTAGGCCACCGTCTATTGTGACTTTACATACAATGCTTAAACAATGCATTCGGAAGAGGCGACCTGGGGAAACCTTGCGAGGAAACGCGGTGTAGGCCACCGTTTGATTTGAATATGTGGATATTGAGCTCTTTTCGGTGTATAGAAGTGTGTCTAGGGGCCCTGGAGAATATTTCATAAATAAATTGGTGATTTCAAACGAAAGCACATTCTGCATAGTGAGAATTTTGAGATAAACTTCACATCATGCATAATTTCTACTTACGGAGATTTATAAATCTCACTCAGTTTATGCATTGTAGGTAATCTTGATGATATATGACTTGATGGTCAGACTGGAGTAGCCGTGGCGCTCTTACAGGCATTTTGAGTTACCGTGTACATAGATGACAACTTGCGGGCAGGACCGTGGCTTGTTTTGCTTCCGTTGTTCCATATTATGTCTGTTTTAGAAGTTGTATGGTGTTGTTATAAAAAGTATGTCGATTGTGTAGTTTTTTATATGGTTTGAGATCCTTTTGGTGAATGTTAATAGGTTACTGTTGAGTTATGTTATGTTTTGCTGAGAAAAAAATTTATAGCAGGTTAACAGGTTGTTATATATATAAGTAATTAAGAGGGATTATAGCATGTTTATCGTTTACTTATATGTGAATTGACGTTAGTAGTATAGTGTTAGTGGGGTCGTGTCAATATATATTTATCATACCACTGTATCGTGACCCACTAAATGCATATAACAATTTCTCATAGACACAGAAGTGAATACAACAAGAGATATCATAACCAAATACGAAATTGATAATGAAAATTCACAAATATGATTTCAATTAAATATTAATTGATCTTACAAAATATCTTCATAATTCAACATGAAATTTCTCAAATACCAATGGTTAGAACTTATTCATGAATTAAACCCTAAGTCAAGATCTTCGTGTTAAAGTAATTGAAATAATAAAATAAATCTTACATGATCCATTAGCATAGTCGGATTCGAATTTACGAATTGATTGAGGATATTGTGATTTCAAATACATAAGACATCTTTTACGAAGAAACCTAACTTTCCTTTGTCGTTCTTTCCACGATTAGATAAATAATAAAATAAAAAAAAAAGTAATGGTGTCGTGTCTAAACTTAAGATTACAACATAATATATTGATTTCACCACTCAATTAATAAATTTAATGAGTTTATGCACGTAATAATAAATAATAATAATAAAAAAGCCATTTTTATGAAATATATTTTAATCTCAATAAATTTAATTTTATGAAATATATTAAATTTAATAGATTATATTCCATGCTTACTTTAACTTATATCTCAAACAACCATTTGATATACCATTAAATTATCAATTCAATACTTTGCTGATATGACATAAATAACATTTTCTAGTGGAAATAATAAAATAAAGTCCCGAAATGAAATGGCTAGTTGCATTATTTATTGCATTTTTTTTTTATTTATTGTTAATCATATTTTCTTTATGACATTAGTTAGATAATTGGCTTTAAAAGTGAGAACGTCAATGAAAGCAAGAAAACGAAATAATAATCCCCACTTGGGTAGGGTCCCGAATAAAATAATTAATGGGTCCCAAATTAATGAGAAAACGCAAAATTTCAATAATAATAACAACAATAACAATAATAATAATAAAATAATACAAGCAGAATCAATAGGCCAATGGGGAGCCTCTGCCTGGAATAAATAATTCGCACAAGAAAATATCCCTCCTCACCTGTCATGACTTGAAAACAGAATAATTCCAGTATCAAAAATGGCACCTGGCCTTAACTGACCTGACCTGACCTTGTTCATGCTTCCCTCTTCCCTCGCTTTCTCTCTACCCTTAATTGATGCAGTCTGCATTCTCCGATCCCTTCGTCGTCACTCCATAGAGATCATTGATTTGATTTCTCCGAGGTCAGCAATTCCATACATCTCTCTCTCTCTCTCTCTTCCTTTGTTTTTTTTCTCTCTGTGTTTTTGTGCTTGTCTCTTTTGTTTGACTTCATTTTCTTTGGCCAACTCGCGAAATTCTTCCCTAAAACAAAATTTGGAGTGGAGTAGAGTGTTGGTGGAAGAATTTACTCCTAGTTTTGTATTTTGTGGGATATATAATTCTTCAAAACTGTCTTTCTTGTTCTGAATATTCTTAATTATTCTGCCAAATTGATATGCAGTACGGTACAGTGCAGGATTGGTTGTATGTATAGATTCGATTAGATTAGATTAGGGTAATGGCGATGAAGACGACGGCGGCGAGGTCTCATCGGAAATTGTCTATAAACAAGGTTTTGGAAAGAGTTGGGGTTGAGGGATTTGTGATGAGTGGGAACTACAGCCCTAGCCAGAAAAGGTTCAAATCGAACAATAATAATTATTATTATTCGTTGGAAGAGGAAGGGGAAGGGAGCGATATAATAATGGAAATGGAGCAGATGGGTGCTGCAAAGACGAAGAATGTCCTGATTCTGATGAGCGACACCGGTGGCGGGCATCGCGCCTCGGCGGAGGCCATTAAGGATGCGTTCGAGCTCCAATACGGCGGGGAGTATGAATATGAGGTGTATGTGAAAGATTTGTGGAAGGAATACACAGGCTGGCCCTTGAACGACATGGAGGCTCAATACAAGTTCATGGTGAAGCATGTCCAGCTTTGGAGCCTTGCATTCCATGGCACTTCCCCTAGATGGATACACTCCCTCTACCTTGCTGCCGTCGCAGCCTTCTACGCCAAGTAACTCCGATTCTTCGAATATCTTAATCTTTATTTAATCTTATTGTTGAGATACGTTAGATATTTAGTTTTAGAATTAAAAGATTTATATTTTGATTTGATCTTATCTTTTTCATTACTTTTGAGTATATCGAGTTTATTTTGTACTGCCTATACTTATTTATTATTTTGATGATCAATAACATAATCTCATTATTATCCCCAAAATTTCTAATATGGTGTCGGAGCCTATTTTTCTCCTGCCATAGATATAGTCTACCGATTTCGAAATTTTTACTATAGTTTATAGTCCTTTCTTCTTCTAATTTTGTTTTGAATCTTGATTTTATTTACGATTGAAGTCATGTCTGCGCATCTGTCTGCGATTGTATGATCCGTCTGCTGCGTCTCTCCGGAGCCATATTTCTAATTGCAATGAGAGTCATGTTATTTTTTACTTTGTGGAGAGTACTACCTTCGTTTTCGGCTCTAGAAGAGAACCATGTCATTTTCGACTCTAATTCAATTGAGAACATTGTTTTTGGGTTTGACACGGTAAAGCGGTAGCGGCAATGACAGACAAGTAACTGTTATTTTTATTTGTAATTCAACTTTCTTATCAAATTCAAATTGGTTTCTGTTACACCACTTGAGTTTGAGGGAAGATATTGAGATATTTTAGATATTTAATTTTAGATTTAGTAGATTTATATTTAGATTTGATCTTATTCATATATTAAATTATTTAAATTTGAGTCTATCGAGAAATGATCAATAAGATAATCTCATTATTGTCTTCCAAAACTTCTAACACTTATTATTGTGATTATGATTCCAAGGGAGGTGGAGGCTGGTCTAATGCAATACAAGCCGGATATTATAATCAGCGTCCATCCGCTTATGCAGCATATACCTCTGTGGGTGCTCAAATGGCAGGGGCTGCTCAACAAGGTCATCTTTGTTACAGTCATTACCGACCTCAATACTTGCCACCGGACATGGTAAACAAATAGTCATTAAGATTTGATACGAATGAATGACTAATTAACTATATATATATATATGAACGTGATCGTACTATCTACCTACCTGGTTGATTGATGCATGATATACTTGCTTGCTTTGCTTACTTACTCACTAAGGTTTCATCCATGGGTTGATCGCTTGTACTGTCCGTCACCAGAGGTGTTGAAGAGGGCATTGGTAGATGGCCTTGATCAATCTCAAATTCGCGTATTTGGCTTGCCTATTCGCCCCTCTTTTTGTCGTGCAATTATATCAAAGGTCATACTTGCATACATACATACATACCTAATAGCTAAGCTAAACTAAGCCAATTTGCAGAATGAATTTGGCAAGGCAATGATAAAAAATGATATGATATTGCAGGATGATTTGCGGGTAGAACTTGAAATGGACAGAGAATTGCCGGCCGTTCTGCTGATGGGCGGGGGAGAAGGAATGGGCCCTGTCGAGAAAACTGCAAAGGCTCTTGAAAAATCCCTTTACAATGCCGATTCCAATGCTGCAATCGGACAAGTGGTCATCATTTGTGGTCGTAACGCCTCCTTAGCTGCCACATTACAATCTCACCACTGGAAAATCCCTGTCAAGGTATATATACTTACATATTTCATTTCATTTTCTGTTCGAATATTAATTCAAAACAACAAATATATGTTACTAAAAAGCAGATCAGAGGATTCGAGAAGCAGATGGAGAAATGGATGGGCGCTTGTGATTGCATCATTACTAAAGTATATATGTTACTACCTCTCAATTTTTTATTTTTGCCTATCATTTATATTTTATCATAAAAACAAAAAATAATGCATCACCTAAAATATTGACCAGCAAAAAAAATGAGATAACATGCTTTTGTTAAAGGGTAAATTGTTTTTTTGATCTCGAATTCGACCTCCTTTATCATTTTAGAACTTTAAGTGAATCATGTCATAAACTAATCCATAAAATTTTTTCGCTAAGTGGTTCTTCGGTGCCGGACTCGCTACGCTGGTAGTCGTTGCTGACGTGACTAACATGTTAACGCCATGTAGATGCCACGTCGGAAGACCATTTTAACGAAATTTTTTTACATGGATGACTATTTTGAAACAAAATTTATTTAAATATCCTAAAAATGATAAATGAGGTCATATACAGACTAAAAAAATAATTTACCAAGGCATTTTATAAAATAAAATATTAAAAAAAATTTGTGTGTCATTAACATGACATTTACGTGGCAATTACATGTGAACTGCTTCAGCGCCACATCAGTCTGCCAGCGTGGCGAATCTGGCACCAGAGGACTATTTTAGCGAAAATTTTTTACTTACGGAACTATTTTTAGACATGGTCTACTTAAAAGTTCTAAAATGATAAAGACTCAAATACGGGACTTAAAAAACAGTTTACTCTTTGTTAAATTATTTGATTCACCACACTAATTTTGTAAGTTTTCCAGACTAGTTTTTCACTCGATCTTGTATGTATGTATAGGCCGGACCGGGTACCATAACGGAGGCCTTGATAAGAGGCCTCCCGATTATTCTCAACGACTACATTCCTGGACAGGTAGGCGAATCTAAATTCCTATATATTATATTGATGGATGTAGCTGGTGATTCATTTGGCAATGTAATTGGCAGGAGAAAGGAAATGTTCCATACGTCGTCAACAATGGCGCAGGCGTATTCACGAGAAGCTCCCAAGACACAGCAAGGATCGTGGCTGAATGGTTCAGCACAAAGGCAGATGAACTTAAGACAATGTCTGAAAACGCCCGCAGACTTGCTAAACCGGATGCAGTGTTCGACATTGTCAGGGACATTCACGACCTGTCGTGCCAGCGTGGCTCTTCCCTTTCAAACATTCCATTTGCAGACATTAATTCATCATTCTCCAGCTTCATCTACTAGATTGCTAAGATTGGCTTAGCCTTCCGGTGCTTGTACATAAGGTGTTAAGATAATAGCTGGTCCAAAATCTTTGTTTTTTTTTTTGTAATCAATTGAAAGGCTAATACCAAGTGTGTGCTTATGTTGTATTCTTTGTAGTAAGCTTGTGTTTGGTCTGATTTTCTGGACTTAGAATTTGTTTACCAAAGTTTTGGAATGAAGTTGAATGTAAGTTTGGACATGAGGCTTTAATTTCCTTGTACCATCACGTTATTACATGTGCTGGAAGAGTGAACTTTTGACCGTAAGACTGCAACACAAGCACTGATAGGAACCTAAGTCACAGCTTCCGCCACCGCTACCACGGAAAGAGCATAAATTTTTGACAACTATTATTAAGTCAACCAAAAAAAAAATTATAATCAATGAATAAAATCATATTGGTAAACAAAAATATATATATATATTAATACTGAAATTTCAGAAAAATATAATGATTATTACATAAGAGTACGGTGGTAATTACAAAAGAGCACAACAATAAAAACAAATGATATTTAGATAGTAAAAATTACTTCAAAAATATAATTTGTAAACGTTCTTAAATAAGTAGTTAGTGGAGCATGTAATTATTATACTTAATAGAAAATAATATACAATTACAATAATATATAGTTTGAAAATAGTCAAAAACACATTAAAATAATATTGAAATTTTGTAAAATCACAATAATTATTTTATGATAGCACAATATTAATTAGGAAAGAGCATAGCAATAATATTTAAAAAGCCCATAAATTACTTCAAAAAAATTCACTAACAATTTCAAAAGAGCACAATAATAATAATAAAATATTAAAAAATAATTTCAGAAAAGCACAATAATAATTTCAAAAGACCACAATAATAATAAAATATATTAAAATAATGCTCTCTGTAATCACTCTAAATTTACACAAACATTACAATATTTTTTAAAATCAAATGGCAATAAAAGAGAAAAGAAACTGAAAAACACCCATGTAGGATGAATAATAATTCATACTACAATTTTACCTTTTTTTTTCCTTTAATCTCCATCCTTTGATTAAAAAGTAATCATAAAAATTAATCATAAAAATTAAAATTAATATATATATATATATATAAGTAAATGAATGTGTGCATGTGTACTTAATAATTAGCCACCAACTATCAACATCACATTTATTTGTATAATTGTAATGCATCCTGTAATGCATCCAGGTTCATGGCATGTAGTGTCTATGTAGACGCTACGTGCAAAGCACTTTCTATTGAATGTTTTTATTAAAAAAAAAAAAAAAAAATTAAAATTATATGTCTTGTTATAATTTTACTAGAAAAAAATATGGTGGAAAATAATTTTATTGAAAAAAAAAAATAGTACAATATTCTTGTATTATTGCATTCTCCATATTTTGATTTATATATATATATCTTTCAGCACGCATTCTAGTTCTTTGTACCCGTTTATTAAATATTTCAGTTGGTAGTGCTTTGGTAAATAAATCTGCAAAATATTTCTGACAATCGAATTTATTGCACATTAATTTCACAATTTTTTTTAAGATATGAGTGAAAAAGAATTTTAGAGATATATGCTTTGTCCGATCATCTTTTATATATCTTCATTTTAATTGAGCTACACAAGTTGCATTATCTTTGAATAGTATTGTAGAAATTTATATCTCATAAAAAATCAAGCCACAATTTTTCTAAATAGTGATTCATTGACCTGAGTCAAAACACATTCTCATTTGGCTTCCTGAACTACTAAACCCTCAGCATGGTTTGAAGACGTAGTAGTTATCGACGGTTTACCAAATTTCCAAGAGATTGTTGTTCCATCACAAGTAAATAAATAATCAGTTTGGGATTTTACTTTGTATGGATTAAACAGATAACCAGTATAACATAACCAATTAATTTATTTTGAAATTGACTCGAATAAAATAGACCAAGATCATATGTCTCCTAAATATAACAAAAAATATGTTTGATATTATTTCAATGGCGCTTTATGTAAGGATGCACTAAACCTTGCAAATAAATGTATTGAAAAAAGAATATATTTGGCCCGGTACAATTCACAAAAATATATTAGTGAGATTTATTATTATTTTAATACATTTTTTGGGTACATGCAGATTGATACTTAAATATGACACTGTTTGTAAGATCTATTTGTATTCACATCAATATATTGGCTTTCTAAAAAGATTTATCTCAAATTCCTTCTTTAGATCTTCAACCAATTTGAATCTCTTTGGAACTTTCAATCAAATTGAAATTATTAACGTATATTGCAATAATGAGAAAATTTGATCTTTTTCTCTTTATAAAGAGGCATACAAATATTGGGTCATTAGTATAAAGTTGTTTAAGTCCATAAAATGACTTTTTCGATTTGTTAAAAAATGATTTCTTTAGATTTGATTTGGATGTTTTAGCCATGTAAATCTTTAAAAAAAACCTTCGTATAAATGTCATTATCTAGTGAGCCATTTTATGTAATCTAAATATATATGTTTGAACTCATTTTATAAAGCATGAATTTTGAGCTAGTTTGATTTTTTTAAGAAAAAAATAATTGATTAATTGTAATATTTGATTGGTTATTGTAAAAAAATATGCCAATATATATTTTTATTTATTTAATATATACTTTAATTATTCTAGTAATTTTTTAAATGTACACACATATTTTAAATATAGGTAAACTGTTTTTTTAGTCCGTAACTATCATTTTACTTTCGTAAGTGAAGTCTGTCGTAAACTAGTCCCATAAGTGAAAAATTTTTGTTGTTTTAGTCCTCCGGCGCCGGAGACGCCCGCGTGGCTCGCCGGATATAACGTGTCCGCCTGGTGTCCTGCTAGGTCAGCGACACCTGGCGGACACGTGGATTTATTTTATTTTTTTAATTTTTTTAATTTTTTTTAATTGGACCAGATAAAAAAATAAAAAAAATACAAATAAAATTAAAAATAAATTGAAAATAAGTTTTAAAAAAAATTTCAAAATTTTCAAAAATAAATAAATCTATGTGTCCGCCAGATGTCGCTGACCTGACGGGACACCTGGCGGACACGTCACCTCCGGCGAGCCACGTGGGCGTTTTTGGCGCCGGAGGACTAAAACAACGAAAAATTTTCACTTATGGGACTAGTTTCCGACAGGCTCCACTTACTGGATTAAAATGATAAGAGGGTCGGTTACAGGACTAAAAAAAATTGTTTACCCTTTAAATATTATGCAATTTAAATACAAAAAAATTATTTTAATGATTATTTAATAGAATTTTTATGTATATAGTTAATTATTTGTAAAAATAATGTTATTATCTATTATATCTTTATCTTATCTTATTATACTATTATATCAAATATATACATATATATTTGAAAGGAGTGAGGTCTATTATGTTTAAATTTATGTTCAATTTTCAAAATATATTTTAAAAATAATCATCTTAAAATATAATACACATCTATAATGAATTAATTTAGATAAGTAAAAATATAAATTTATATAATGAGATAGTATTTAAATTTTAAATATATTTTATAAAAAAATAAAATAAGATAGCAAAAGCATATATATGTATGAAATTCATATATAAAAGTAAGTATAAATAAATTAAGTATTGACAATTAAATCAATACTCAGTCCATCTTGCATAAATTGTTTATCTACTGTAGTACAAAATTTAGGTAAAATATAATTAGTAAAAATAGTTATGGTAGTTAAAATGAAAAAGTACGATGATATGATTATTTATGAAAATAAGACTATTATTTTGAGACGGATAAAAATAATAAACAATAATATTGTATTGAAACGGAAGGAGTAAATAATAAGGGTAGCTTGGGCAAAGAATAATTTTTGTACCTTTTAGGAGATACTAATGAATAAAATTACAATTAATGATAATAGTGACGCAGATAATAGTAATAATGTTGTAATATATTTTTATCTCCTTTTAACATCTCCCTATATAAGATACATTAAAACACATGGCTATGTTTAGATAGAGATTTCTGAATAATTTTGAAGTTTTAAAAATTTGAAAACAAAAAGTAAAAATTAATATTTTATAAAATAAAAAATATATATATTATTTAATATCTTTGTAAAAAAATGAATAGCACAAAGTTGGTTGTGTAAAGTGACATTAGTGTTCTCCGATTGTATAGCCGCTGCGCTCTGTTTATACAACATATTTTTATTTATTTGATACTATTTATTTTTCAAAAAATATCACATCAAATATACTTTTTCTTTCACAAAATATCAAACTAAATACGAACTTTTACTTTCTTTTTTTTTTCAAACTTCCAAATTTTCAAAAACCTTCGAAAATTTATATCTAAACAAACCCCTTAATTTTTCTATACTCTCTACGTCTCATAACAAAGTATCCATTTTTTCATTTTAGTCCGTCTCATAACAAAGTATTCATTTTTTTTAGTAACTGTACTATCTACCTAATCTTACAAATACCCTTACAACTTATAATATATTAGACAAATGTCATTACCTTTGTATTATACATACTAATATAAGATTATTTTAATCATTTCTATTTTATTCCTACTATATCTCAATATAATACTAATATTTTTAAAATGATGTGCAAAAAGCAAATGAATATCTAATTATGGGACAAAAATGAGTATTTCATTTTTCTTTTATGCATCTTGCGCATTATCATTTATGATTTATTTTTTTAATTTTTTATTTTAATTTCAAGGAGGTATATCAGTTCCCGGAGAAAATGACAAATTATGGTGGTCCCCACGCAATGATTAAGTAAAATATTGAGAACCAACGTGAATATCTGATATCAGTAGAGCCGTGAAGTTCAGCTTTGTAATTGTCGATTTTCATTTGAATCGGTGAATCAACAAATGTGCTTTTTACTTTAAGGGCGTGTTTATTTGGCGATTTAGATCTTGATTTGAGATTTGAATAGTAAAAAATTTGAATTATGATAGTTATATGATGTAGTATATATAGTTGTGATGCGATATTTTGAATGTAAAATTAATTTTTAGACTGATGTTTTTATGAAAAAAATTTGATGAATAGTAAAATTTTGAGGATTTATCCTTAGGGTGTGTTTGTTTGGAGGATTTTATCGAAATTTTACTATTCATTCAAAATATCACGTCAACGCCTATTTATATCACATCATACAACTATTCACATTCAAAATTTTTACTATTCAAATATCAATTTAAAATTCA